GTGCCCACGACAATGCCTGGCTATTTTTTGGTTGTAGCTGTCATTGTTGTTTGACAGACCCTGGCTGGATTCAAACCCTCCAGCTCAAGTGTATGTGGCTGGCACCTCAGCTGTTTGAGCTGCTCCTTAGGTGCCGAGCCTCAGAATTCTTTTCTAAGTAGTTTAACCTAGATGAAGTTTAGATTTAAAGTTTAGTTTCTGTTTTCTCATCCCATATTTTTACACTTAAGAAACTTCCTGAGAAGCGGTGCCTGTGGCCCAGTGGGTAGAGTTCCAGCCCCATATACCGAGGGTGGAGAGTTCAAACCCGGCCCTGGCCAAGCTGCAACAAAACAATAGCTGGGCATTATGGCAGGTGCCTGTGGTCCCAGCTACTCAGAAGACTGAGGCAAGAGAATCAACCTAAGCCCAGGAGTTGGAGGTTGCTGTGAGCTGTGATGCCACAGCACTCTACCAAGGGCAATAAAGGAAGACTCTGTCTCTACCCCGCCCCCCCCCCAAAAAAAAAGAAGAAAGAAACTTCCTGAGAAAGGGATCTCAACCAAGTATAAGGAACCATCACAGGAAGTGGCTGAGATCTGTTTGTCAAGGATAAGGAAGTATATGTTTCTGTTTAAACATTTCGTTCTTCTCATCCAAACATGCAAACTGCTATGGGTTCAGAGGGTAAAGGCAGTTAAGTGATGAGAAAAAAATTTTCCACCTTCTGCAAGAGGAAGGCACATTAGCTTTATTCTTCTATGGGAAGTTATAGTCAATTCTAGCAGTAGGCTTATTCCGTCTAGCCCAAGTAGCTCAAGGGAAGTAGCATGAACTGTACCTTTGGAGTGGAAATATTTCTCTTTAGGTACATTGGGTAGAGAAATTAATGCTTTTACTTTAAAAAAGAAAAAGGCTTGGCTGGGCTTAGTGGCTCACACCTATAATCCCAGCACTCTGGGTGACTGAGGTAGGTGGATTGCCTGAGCTCAGGAGTTCAAGACCAGCCTGAGCAAGAGCAAGACCCCTGTCTCTACTATTAAAAATAGAAAAGCTAGCTGGAGTTGTGGCAGACGCCTGTAGTCCCAGCTTAGGAGACTGAGACAAGAGGATCACTTGAGCCTAAGAGTTTGAGTTTGCTGTGAGCTATGATGATGCCATGGCACTCTACCCAGGGTGATAGGATGAGACTCTGTCTCAAAAAAAAAAAAAACAAAAACGAAAAAGCTATCATGAAAGCATCCTCCAAAAGATAATATTTAATGAAGAATTTTTACTTAAGGGTTTGGGGGGATGTGAGTGTGGTTATCACTTTGAATTCCTAAGGGAATAGTTTTTAATTTGTATTCAGTGGACAAATAATATTAAACAGGCACCATTTTCTTAAAACATTTTTATAATTTACCATTTAGAATTACCAAACACCCTTTATATCTGCAAGTTTAAATTTAGCATAGATGTTGTAAACTATAAACAGCTTATGCAACTTACTGTCATAGGAATTATATTTAAATCTAAGTTATAGTTATTAGCGTTTAATCTTTTCAGTCAGTCTTGATACCACAGTTGTTTTTGGAAACCTTGATAAAGATTTGCCAGTTGAAAAAAATTGGGTTTTCCTCATTTATAAAATAAATGCAAAAATTAAATGTCAGCTTTTTCAGGTGAAAGCATTCTTTTTTTTTTTTTTTTTTTTTTTTTGAGACCGAGCCTCAAGCTGTCCCCCTGGGTAGAGTGCCGTGGCATTACAGCTCACAGCAACCTCCAACTCCT